TGCGACTTTCGAGTTGTCAAGAAATAGGTCACGACCGCTGCTACGATTAGGCCATCATGAAACCATTAGATGAGGCGCGCCACGCACGGATCATTACCCTGTTGCAGAGGGGGTATAGCACTCGTAGAATTGCTAAGAAGCTAGGCGTGGGGAAGAGTACGGTCCATGATTATGGGCTCAAGGTGATTGCTGAGTCTAGCCGCGATGACGTGCATCCTACGATGCCCTCAGCCGGTCGCCCTCGCTTAGTGACAGAGAGAGTTCGTCGCGACATAGCTCGGTCGATTTCTAGCAGGGAGGCAAAAACCTCTGCTCACGCGGCGAAGATCGTCAAGATGCAGCATGACATCACGCTGCATCATAGGACAGTGCGTAACACCTTGAATGACAGCGGACTTGTCGCAATCCAGCAGCCCAAGAAGCCGCGACTTTCTCGAAAAAACATATGCGATAGGCTAGAATGAGCCCGTGCCCACGCCGACTGGACGGTTGATGACTAGAAGCGAGTGATCTGGTCAGATGAGACCAAGATAAATCGTTTTGCTTTCGACGGACGCTCATATGCATGGGTTCGCGAAGGTACCGCCCTCCCAAGCCACCAAATCAAGCAGACCGTCAAACACGGGGGCGGCTGCTTGATAATTTGGGGGTGCATGTCATATGAGGGAGCGGGTTTCATGTGCAAAATAGATGGTAGGATGGAGAGACCGCTCTATCTGAGTATACTGTAGGACGAGCTCAATAGTACGATCGGCCTTTACCAACTTTCACCCTCGTAAGTTATCATCCAGCATGACAACGACCCCAAGCACAAGTCGCGTATCGTGCAGGAGCGGCTTCGAGAGCAGGAGTTTGGGGTGCTGGAGTGGTCTTCATCATCAACCGACCTCAACCCAATAGAGCATCTATGGGCTCATCTCAAGAGGGAGCTGGCCAAGCATGAGAGGCCTCCCACTAGTATGCTGGACCTTTGGGAGCGTTTCCAGGAGGAATGGGAGAAGATCCCGGCGGATGTGTGTACCCACCTGGTGGAAAGCATGCCCAGGAGGGTGAGGGCATTGATTAAGGTGCAAGGGCGGTGGACTAGGTACTAGTTTGGGGTTGTTGAAACTTGCTGCTTGCGCCTGGCACTAATTGTTCGGATGTACCATGATTGTTAATTTCTATTAGTTGGTGTAAATGTTAGTATCTTTGTGAGATGTACGGCATGTGCATAGAGCCTTACCCCAACCTACATACAGTGGGCATGCCAAAAGTTTAAAGCTTAATGTGCATGACCCCTTAATACTCAAAAATTCGTCTAAGGCACAAACATGGGGACAATACTTTCCGTCACTCTATCTTGGAAGGACAACACAACTTTGTGGCTGGCGACGATGATAAGGACCCCTTCATCAGATACCACTCATTTGCCACTACCCAGAATGAAGCTGACAAATAGTATCTGCCGTTTTCTTGTACAAACACCCCGTCGCTTTATCCCTCCTACTTTCCCGAACATGATGACATTATCCACAGTGCTTACAATTATGCTGAGGAAAACCTCTTACTTATTAAAAAAACATTTATCCATCTCCCTTGCGTGACACTATCAAGCGTGACTGAACTGAATCCGACGACGACAACAATGACGACGCTCAGGAGGTTACCCGCAATGTCAACGAACAAGTTGTTCAGCGTGCTTGGTCTCGCAAAACTTGCACTAACAGAAATAAAAGGATGACATGGATAAGGAGATCGCTGCTCTCGGCTACCGAGACACCTGGGTCCTAGTTGATCACACATCCATAAAGGGGAGAATCATTATTTCCGACAAATAGGTCATCATCATCAAGACCAACGCAGATGGACGTATCAAATGCTTCAAAGCGCGATGGGTAGTTCGTGTCTTTGACCAAACATGTAGGATTGACTTCGACCAAACCTACGCGCAGTTCGTCACCACACCCCCGTTTGCATTTTGCTCGCCATTGTAGTCTGCAAGCATTTTTCAGTGTGCCAGCTCAACGTAAAAAGCATCTTTCTTCATACGCTCATCAACGAGCTCTTTTACGCCGAGCAAACTCACACTTACAGGGACGGTGACGGCCACGTCAGCCCACTAAATAAATTCATTTACGGCATCAAGCAAGCCCCTCGCCTCTAGCAGCAGCACCTCCACACTATACTCCTCGCTATCGGATTCACTCAACTGCACCCTGACCCCTGCATCTACCGCCTGTAACACCAAACCAACTATATCCTCCTCATGGTGTATGTCGACGACAACCTTTACACCGGCATTAGCAACCTCCTCCTCGAACGCTTCGAGTCCAACATCCGCGACCACCTCGAGATCACCATCTCACTCGAGGTAAAGGAGTTCCTCGACCTTCACATCTCATACTCAAACTTTGCGATGCATCACCCCACTGCCAAGTATGCCAAGACACTCGCCAAGCGTTCCGCATCGCCCCCACCATGGTCTCTACACCTTAATGCGTGCATGCCAAGGACCACATCCGTGACTCGACTGTCCTCAACGTCTTCGAGCACCAACTTTACCAACAACAACTCGGCTGCCTCTTCTTCGTTGCCGTCACCTGTCGTCTCGACCTTTTGTCACAGGATCGAATGAGGTTTGCTCAATGTTGCACTAGCAATCAGTACAAGGTGCTTTTATACTTCCAGAGTACACAGGTAACCAGGTTTATCTTATCCAAAGGGAATAGACCCTTCTAGAAATAGAATCACCTTGCGTATAGCCACGCGAGGCTATTGGCTTTAAGGGATTACGGCAGGATGACGCTAGATATAGCGCGCTAGTACATCCCGAGCCTGGTCGGTGATATAATCATAATACTAGGATAAACCAAAGGATAATGGAAAAAGAGGAATAGGAAACCAAATGAGATAAGATAAAGACCAAATGAATCAGGAGTGAAAGAGGAATGAAATAGATAGAAAATATGGAAAGGGGAAATTGGTGTAACGGTGTCATACTCTCACACCTTTCTTGCGCTACCAATCAACTCGTAGAGTACATGTGCTAGCCTGAAGGGAAGCACACGCATGATCTGCGTTGCACACTCCAATATCTCACTTCGACGCCGATGTCAACCTAACCTACTACAACGCAACTACTCCAACCTCCAATCTCGTTGGCTATGTCGATGTGGATCACACGGGCAATGCCGAGAATCACGGCTCCAGATTTGGATTCCTCCTACAACTTGAACCTACGGGACCTATCTTTTGGAGTGCACAGAAGCAGGAGCTCACCTCTCTCTCCTCCTTCAAAGCTGAGTTCATTGCAGCAACCGTAGTTGTTTGCGAAGGCTTCTATCCATATGAGCTTCTTCAGGAAGTGGAAAATACGAAAAAGAAGTCACTCTCATTACACTATGGCAACCATTCTGCCATCAACCTCTCAAACCAAGTTGGCTTCATCAATCGCACTACATGCATCAATACCGTATCCACCCGGATAAGCGCCCCGCCAGGGGATAGGACCCAGAGTCCTTTAATAAGCTAATGGGGCTTATGCATATTATTTTATCATAGGCCCCTCCCCCCTTGGAGTGTGTTCGTCGTGTAAGCCTTATTCTCTTGTACACGACTGATCTAAAAAAAAAAAGCGTAAGACAGTTTTTGTTGCGTACGCGAGATCGAAATTGTGCACACACGCAAAAAAATGCTATTGACAATGGGGATCTGTTGACTTCCAGCACATGCGGGGGCTGGTTTCCCATTTGCTCTCTGAGTCAGAAAACGTGGCAGCATTTTCGGCCGCATTGAATGCACAGCAGTTGCCGATTTCAGAGAAACCAACTAAAGGAAAGTATTTCGGAACAAGTGGTAGTCTATTTCGTGTATAATAAATTGAACGTAAGTCAGGCCCATGGGCTTATTTCAGATTTTTTTTTATTTATTTTTTTCATTAGCCCCACACACCCCTAGGGGCACCTATCCCGGTGGATACGAGACTTCTTTGTGAACGACAAGGGCAACGAAAATCTCACCCACTGCCCAACCGGCGAGATAATTGCGACTTTCTGCACAAAAAATGTCACATCAGAAGTTTCAGTACTACGCGGACCTCGCCGGAGTCACCAACAAGCCATGGTCAACACACCTTTATGAATGAAGGCGAGTGTTAGATAACCCAGACGAGCATTCTGAACATAAAATATTATTGACTGAACATCGCAGTAAGCTCGTAGATGATAACTAATGGTATAGGAGCAGTCGTCAGACCGTTGATGGTCTACTTAACAGTCATTAAGTGGAGGAGTCCGCCGTCCAGGCCAAGAGTTGCAGGCCGTATGCCCAAACGATCTACGAGAACCGTTTGCATTACGGAACGGTTATCAAGTCTAGTATGGCCCTGAAATGGTATGTACCCCTTCAGAGTACATGGCTAGCTATGATCTTACGCATTCCTTTGTAATACAGTACAAACCCTAGTATCTTATGCTGCTAAAATCTTCCTATTTGACATTAACACTGGCTAGGTCAACTACAAAAGACTTTCGCTGTCTTACACAACGATTTGAATTAAAATTCTGGAATATAATAGAGATGATATTATAAAATTATATGCTACATAGGAACGTATGGCGGTTCTAACCACACTCCACATTTATCATTATACTACCATGTGTGATTTTCGTAGGTTTCTTTCGTAAGGAGAAAAACTGGAAGTCCTTACTTTAGTTTGTAACGAAGCAATTTAACAGACCTTCACAACCGAAGCATGGCAAAATGAAGAAGCTGGTGACAAGGCATCCTTCTCGATTCTGGGGCCCCGAAGGCCCTGCAGGGCAGGCCTAATCCTACGGCGCACTTTCCCCTTCATACGAAAATCGACGGAGATCGCTTTACATCGGCGAGTTCCTTGGCGCACGCTCCGTGCCACCGTGGAACCAATCCATTGGTTGCGCCGATCGTCGCGACATCTTCACGCGGATAATGTCCTCCATCACCATCCCCCCCGGATTGCCACATCTCCAGGCTGCCATCTGAATCCACCGCTCCAGCAGCCTGTCTGAAACCCCATTTCTCCTCCACCGGTGTGTTTGGTTTGCAAGTGTACACTCCGCACACCTGCACTCCACGCACATCTGACACCATGGCTGCCACCGCTGCGTCCGCCAGCCTCAAGGCTTCCACCTTCGTGCAGCCTAAGGTCAATGCCGCCTCCCTCAAGGCTGCTCCCGTCTCCCAGGCTTTCGGCCTGAAGACTGCCTCCGCCAAGGTGTCTTGCTCCGCAGAGGAGAATGTTCGCGGCTTCGTGCAGAAGTGCGCTGATGCCGGCAAGGCCGCTGCTCTTGCCCTCGCGTCCACTGCTCTGGTCGCTTCGGTAAGTCGCCGATGAAGACGTTTCCATAATTTCGGCTTCAATTATAGGCGCGATCGGAGATTCCTGTTTCTGGCGCCGTTTGGCAAAACTAGCTGGACCTAGCGTCCCGTACAAATATGACCTCATCCTGCCTTCGGTGCCACTCCTCTTTTTGTCCCACAGTCTGCCCAGGCTGCGGTCCCCAGGCTGACCTTCGACGAGCTCCAGAGCCTTACCTACTCGGAGGTGAAGGGATCCGGCATCGCCAACCAGTGCCCCATCATTGCTGGCGGCGTCGATGGCTTCGCCTTCAAGTCCGGCAAGTACCAGGTCTCCAAGATGTGCCTGGAGCCCACCGCCTTCACCGTGAAGGCGGAGTCCCAGTTCAAGGGCCAGGGCGAGGAGTTCCAGAAGACCAAGCTCATGACCCGCCTCACCTACACCCTTGACGAGATCGAGGGCCCCCTTGAGGTGAACGGAAACAACCTGAAGTTCACCGAGGTTGACGGAATCGACTACGCCGCCGTGACCGTCCAACTCGCGGGTGGCGAGAGGGTTCCGTTCCTGTTCACCGTGAAGGAGCTTGTCGCGTCCGGCCCCGCCGACAGCTTCGGAGGGTCGTTCCTCGTGCCGTCATACCGTGGCGCCACCTTCCTTGACCCCAAGGGCCGCGGTGGTTCCCAGGGCTATGACACCGCCGTGGCTCTGCCCGCCGGTGGTTTCGGTGACGAGGACGCCCTGCAGAAGGAGAACCAGAAGAGCTACAAGGCGCTGAGCGGAAACATCACGTTCAGCGTCGCCAAGTCGAACGTGGAGACCGGTGAGATCGGTGGTGTGTTCACGAGCGTGCAGCCGTCCGACACAGATATGGGTGCCAAGGTGCCCAAGGATGTGAAGATCGAGGGCATCTGGTACGCCCAGCTTGACTAATTTTGCTAGAGACGTGCAAGCCTACTCAGCGTATTGTAAAACCGTTTTGTAAATCAAAGCAGCATACACAGTTTTCCCTTATCACCCCTTCGTGCCGAGTGTCCCTGAGTTGCCTGGATGTTCAGAGTGCATATGCATTTGCTTGTGTCGCCCTTCTTACCTCGAACCGACTGAAGTGGGATACTGGTTAGCTATTAGGGTGAAGACATCATGTTGGAGTGAACCACGTGATAACGGTGGCCAGGATCTAGGGTTGGTGTAACCAAGAGTCAAGATTGGAAGTTAAAACGGAATTCAAATCAACGGATCACAAGTAGGTAAACATTGCGTTGGATTCCTTCTCTGAGACGCATTGAAAGCTGCCAATTTGCTGGTAGTGGGCTGATAGGGGAATACACTCTTGCTGAAAGCCTTCACTCTGCATGAGACATATGAGACATCAATCGTGAGGTTGGCTATTCCAGCCTACAATTGGTTATCTGCAACATCAAAGCATGCATCAGACAGGCTAGCTTTGGTACAGATTCCCTGCAAGGCAGAAGACATGTTGTCACACTCCCAACATCCATGCGTATATTGTTCATGCTTTTGTCAAGCCCAATACAGGGTAGAAGTGCAACAGCTCTCCAGGATGACTGGTTTGCCAGCTCACGAGGCATGAAGGTACGTGAAGAGCAGTATCCAAACGAGCTGCAGTGGGGCAACCGGAGGATGTGTAGGGAGGTGTGGGGACACAATGATACCCGTGCAGCCATGACAATTTGCAGCTCAGAAACGACAATCAAACATCCAAGCCTAAGGTGTTCCCATAACCCCCAACATTGAGAACGATCGCCTGTCTTATAACATCAGCAAGGGCATGTGCACAGAAGAAAAGAGACTATGATGAAGCAAATGCAAAACAGGAGAAAGTATAGAAAGATGCTTGTAAAGGACGAGGAAGAGAGACTGACCAGGAAGAGCCCAAAGGAGTTTAAAAGGCCTTCCTGCAGCAGCGCCCCGTGGCCACCCATCTCGTCCGCATCCACCTTCACCACCAGCGTGTAGTATCCCATCATCAGCGCCGTGCTCAGCACCAGGAAGCTGTCAGACAGGAGAAAGGGGAAGGAGAAAGAGAAAGAGAAGGAGAACACAGTAAGAATGAGAGAGGGGAGAATAGGAGCGCAACTTTTTGAAGCATCCACCTTCACCACCAGCGAGTAGTACCCCATCCTCAAGGCCGTGCTGAGGACCAGGAAGCTGGTCGGCAGGGAAGAGGGAACTGATTTAGGTTTGGAGGCAAGGCAACGGCTTTGCCTGGCAACAATAGTTCGAGGGGGTCAATGCCAACTCGCCGTCCTGACACAAGCACATAGAGCCCCAAGCAGCCAGAATACAGTGCAGAAAGATCTGCCCCAGTCCAACCACCAAGCCCCTCTCCCCCCTACCCTCCTATCCCACACCCCTCAGAACCCCCTCCCCCACACTACACCCTCCACTCCACTCCCCCCCCCTCCTAGACCACATGACTGACCCAATGACCCCGATGCCGCCTGTGATGGGGGCCATGCCCCAGACGAGGCCAAAGAGCAGCCCAAGGGCCTGCCGCATCCAGTAGAGGATGTCCTTGAAGCCGTCCTGGGAAGCCGTGGCAGGAGGCAGGGGGCGGAGCAATGCACAATTGCAAGACAAAACCGGGGGATGGCTACTTCTTTCCGATGAGAAAAAAGGGACATGGTGCAAGAGCCGCGTTTCATCCCAGGCACAATATCCAGGTGCCCATTTTTTACATTGGATGCAGTCCCCGCCATCCACACTGTATCCGGTCGAGTATCGTAACCACAGCGTACCTTATCCCCACCATCCACGTAGTACCTGGTCCCCACCGTCCACGTCATATTGATTCCCACCATCCACGTCACACCTGATTCACATCATCCACGTCATACCTGATCCTCAGTCACATCTGGTTTTAGCAACGACGACAGCAGGCCCGGTTGCGACTGCTTCTGTCCAGTGCATTACGTGTGGGGGGCGATGGGCGTGGGAGTGGAGGGGGAGGGGGAGGGGGAAGTGAGAACGGAAGGGAATGGGCCGCTGTGAAGGGATGACGGAGCACATGACGTAGAGAGGCGACAGAGGGAGGAAGAGTAAACGAAAAAGCCTTCTCCCCATTGCTCCGCTCCCCACCCCTGCGACCGCTGCACCATCCCAGGGGCTGTGCGACAGCCTCATTGTCGCACCTTGGTCGCCATGGGGCTGCGCTCAGCGAGCCCTCAAAGCTGAAGCGGATCGGGTGAAAACCCCCTTGCGACTCTGGTCGTTGACCCTTCAGACAGCGACGCGCCACGGGGCGACAATAGTATAGACGACGGTCCGGCAGGCGCAATCGGCGTCCACGCCGGGACTGCAAGCAGAGAGGGTCGAGTGGAGCTAGTGATGGTGCACCGCGCACCGCGAACTGTGGACCCCACTCAAAGGGCTGCTGGCTCCCAGTGGAACGAGAGACACGTGGCGCACGGGCGAACGACGGGGCTGCAAAGAAAAGCAAGGGTTGGGTGGACGGGTTGGGTGGACGGGTTGGGTGGACGGGTTGGGGCAGAGGCATGCGATCTGCGAGCAAGATGGACAAGCGGCGCGATGACTCCAAGCGAGTTGCAACAACCGATGATACACGGGCTGGAAAAACGCCGCCTTTGCAATAGCCGATCCGCGGCCACAACGGCCAATAGATCAGCTACCGCTCGATGAGTGCAGCTGCTGGATCCCTGCCCGCTCCCTGTCCCGTTCTTTCTACTCATCATCGTCGCTCAGCTGCGCGCGTGTCGCCGGATCACTCACCCGCTCGTCGTCAACGGAGCGCGCGACGCGTGGATGGCGGGAGAAGACGAGGCCGACCAGACGTGAGAGACGGTGAGTGCGGACTCTCTACGTGTGAAACTCGATGCGCACCGAGCTCGTGCGATCGTGACGCGATGGAGTTTGCCGATCAGACAGGCCCCTTGTGAGGGACGGCTGGGGCAGAAGTCAGAATGGAGAGATTTGAGGCTGTTTGGATCGGGTTTTTTGGGCCGCCCACCGGCAGCGTCGGGTCATCCGTCAGATGCACCACCTGAAGTGGAAGAGAGGGCCGTGAGCGTATGCACTGCCTGTCTTCAGGGGTTTGGGGCTGCATCTTGAACGCACCCTCAGTATGCAAGCACCTCTGTGCTCGAACTTGGCAATTGGATTTTAGCGAATTGTGACGATTAATAATTGGGTCGCACTCGTTTTCGCGGAACCTCTGGTTGCGACGGACGCTTGGGATGCATACGCGGTATTGAGCTAGCGTGTGCGAACATCGCATTCTGCAGTGAGCGAACCCACTGAAAGCTCATCATAAAAAACCGTTATCAAATAGGCTTCAGACAACTCCAGTCACAAGTCGTCTCCCCTAGATTCCTCCTGTAGATCAACAGTCACAAATCACGACATTCTAGCACCCCTGACAGTTGCATCGACCCATGGCTCCGAAGAGTCGCAAAGGCGAGTCAGCCGCGGCGGCGAACGGCGGCGGCGATGCGGGCGACGATCTGATGGCGTGGGTGGTGAAGAGCCGCAAGCTGGACGAGAAGCGGCGCGCGGAGAAGGAGAAAGCCGAGCGCATGGCGCGGATGCTCGCCGACCAGGTGCGTGCCGCGCGTCTCGTCGATCGATCGTCTCTTTTCCGGGCCTTCATTGCCGATGACTGGCCGCCACGATTGCCCATGCTTGCCCGGCTCGTGCGCGGTGTAGCTTGCGTGTGTGTTCGATTCCTGTTTTCCCGTCACCGAGTTTCCCGCCGTTGCCTGCTGCTTGAGTTGTTCGGGCGGCGCAGGAAGATCCTCCGCTGATCATCGTGCGCGAATCGTAATCCCATTCTCTCATCTGTGCCACGTTATGGTGGCAAAGGCATTGAAGATTTTATCTCCCGCAGTGTTGTGCTTCTGTCGGTTGTGATCTTATCGCAGGACGACGCGGCGGCGGAGGACGAGGAGGACGAAGATGACGAAGGCAGCCGACAGCGGTCAGGCCGAGCAGCATACACGTCGCGTGAGCGTCCTCTTTCCCCCCGTGCTCCCGTGCCCCCTTCTCTTCCGCCCCTCCCACTCCTCCCCTTGCGCCCTTCTTCTCCCCCCCCTTCATCTTCTCCTTCCCGCTCCCTGCCCTCGCGTTCTTCCCTGGCCAAAATCCGTTCCCCACTGGACGCTCTCCTGTTCCCCACGCGCACACACATCGCCCTCCATCTCCCTCTCCTCACAATCCCCTCTCCTCCCTCCCGACTTCTCTCCCTCCCTCTCTCCCTCCCGACTTCCCTCCCCCCTCTCCTCTCCCCCTCTCCCCTCCCCCCGTTCGCATAATGGTCCTTCCCCGCTCTCCTGCGCGCGCACAGGCAACCTGGCGGGCTGGAAGGTGCGACGTGGAGTGAGCAAGGAGCTTAAGACGCGCGTCAAACACCCTCCCTCGTTTGTTGTGCCCCCACCCCTCATCCCCCCCGGACCAGACCATCCCCTCCAACCATTTCCCCCCCCTCCCGCCCCCTTTCCCACCCTTCCCCTCCTCCCCTCCTCCCCTCCTCCCCCCTCCCCTCCTCCCCCCTCCCCTCCTCCTCTCGTTGTGTTATACTCTGCATGCGTGCAGGCGATCTAGCGGGGCTGAAGGTGCGGCACGGAGTGAGCAAGGTGTTGGAGGAGGGCGCGGCTGTGGTGCTCACGCTCAAGGACTCCTCCATACTGGCGGGCGGCGACATCAACCAAGGTAATGCGAGTGGCGTATCCAAGGCAGTGAATGAATGTGACAGCAACGAATGTGTTGCAGGAGGGCGCTGCTGTGGCGCTCACTGTCAAAGACTCCTCCATTCTGGGGAGCGGGGTTGATGTAAACGCAGGTAATGGATGTGGGAATGGCAGCAATGGCAGAAGTAGCGTACTCGGCAGTGCGGGTTGGAGGTCTCGTGAAGACAGAGGGCAGACTGTGAGCCGTGTGACCATGTCCGGACGACCATGTCCTCACGACCATGTCCGGACGACCATGTCCTCACGACCATGTCCGGACGACCATGTCCTCACGACCATGTCCGGACGACCATGTCCTCACGACCATGTCCGGACGACCATGTCCTCACGACCATGTCCGGACGACCATGTCCTCACGACCATGTCCGGACGACCATGTCCTCACGACGCGGCATGTGGTTTCTCCCGCAGCGAGTTGCTTCCTTCCACGGTGGTCAGTGCTGACCTAGCGTGGTGATGCAATCCTCCACCCTTCCTCCTCCTGTTGCTTCGCACAGAGAGGGAGTAACCCCCACTCTCTCTCTCGCCCTCTCCTGGGTCCCTCCCCTGTCCCGTGCTCCCCCCCCCCAGAGGAGGACGAGCTGGAGAACGTGGAGCTGGCGGAGCAGAGCCGCCGAGACGCCGCGTACAGAGCCGCCAAGAAGACGACCAGCATTGCGGACAAGTGGGTGGGGGGATGGGGGGCATGACGGGGGGGAGGGGAGAAGGCGGAAGGGGTGGGGAGCGAGGGATGGGGAGCATGAGAGGGAGGGGGGGAGGTTACAGATGGTTGAGATGTCGCGTAAAGCACGGCTGAGAAGACGACCAGCATCGCCGACAAGTTGGCGGGAGGGGGGGATGGGGGCATGAGAGGGGGGGATGGGGGCATGAGAGGGGGGGATGGGGGCATGAGAGGGAGGGCGGAGGGGTACTACAGATAGGTGGGATGAAGGCGTGGCATGGAGTTGTGTAGCGCATGTGGTAACGGGGAGGTCTGGGCCACAGGCACAAGGGGTTGAGCGAGCGTGCATCCCCCACGCCCTCGTTTCTTCATTCTCTCCATTCCTCATTCCTCATGCCCTCCATGTCTCCATTCCTCATGCCCTCCATGTCTCCATTCCTCATGCCCTCCATGTCTCCATTCCTCATGCCCTCCATGTCTCCATTCCTCATGCCCTCCATGTCTCCATTCCTCATGCCCTCCATGTCTCCATTCCTCATGCCCTCCATGTCTCCATTCCTCATGCCCTCCATGTCTCCATTCCTCATGCCCTCCATGTCTCCATTCCGCATGCCCTCCATGTCTCCATTCCTCATGCCCTCATGTCTCCATTCCTCATGCCCTCCATGTCTCCATTCCTCATGCCCTCCATGTCTCCATTCCTCATGCCCTCATGTCTCCATTCCTCATGCCCTCCATGTCTCCATTCCTCATGCCCTCCATGTCTCCATTCCGCATGCCCTCCATGTCTCCATTCCTCATGCCCTCCATGTCTCCATTCCTCATGCCCTCCATGTCTCCATTCTGCATGCCCTCCATGTCTCCATTCCTCATGCCCTCATGTCTCCATTCCTCATGCCCTCCATGTCTCCATTCCTCATGCCCTCCATGTCTCCATTCCTCATGCCCTCCATGTCTCCATTCCTCATGCCCTCCATGTCTCCATTCCTCATGCCCTCCATGTCTCCATTCCTCATGCCCTCCATGTCTCCATTCCTCATGCCCTCCATGCCTCCCTGGCTGCAGGTTTGCGGAGGACGAGGGGGTGAAGAAGCCCATGCTGCCGCAGTACGATGACGGGCAGGGCGACGACGAGGTGAGCTCACGCTGAGTCACGGAAGTGAGGAGAAACACGGGTGGGTGAGGTGTGGAGGCGGAAGTAGAGGCGGAGTGAGCAGCAGCAGGAGGGGTGAGCCATGTTCTCTCCCATGCCGCACTTCCTTTCTCGCACCCTTGCCTGCCAGATCACCCTCTCTCACCACCACAGGAGCACAGCTCTGCTGCTGCGCGTTGCACTGCCTGCTTGCTAGGTGCTGCAAAGCACCGCTGCCGGCAACCTCTACTCCCACCCAGCGTATTCGTTCAAACGGCCTCTTGCATTGCAAGCAGCCCTTGCTTGTTCGTCCTGTCTCATCCTTCCTTGTGCCTCCTGCCGTCCCTGGTTGCTGGATGACGTGCCTTGCATGGCTCATGTGACCCCCCCCTGGCATGACTGGCATGACTGGCATGACTGGCATGGCATGGCATGGCTGGCACTGGCATGGCTGGCATGACTGGCATGACTGGCATGACTGGCATGGCATGGCATGGCTGGCACTGGCATGGCTGGCATGACTGGCATGACTGGCATGACTGGCATGGCATGGCATGGCAGGGCATCGTGCTTGACGGGTTGGGTGGGCTGGACGAGGCAACGAGGAACCGGCTGGATGAGGTCAGTATGGGGGGGCGAAGGGTGGAGAGAGGGAGGAAGGGAGATGTGAGAATTTGCGTCTGCTTCCCCTTCCCATCCCACCCAAAGCATCTCTGCTTCCCCTTCCCACCCAAAGCATCTCTGCTTCCCCTTCCCACCCAAAGCATCTCTGCTTCCCCTTCCCACCCAAAGCATCTCTGCTTCCCCTTCCCACCCAAAGCATCTCTGCTTCCCCTTCCCACCCAAGGCATCTCTGCTTCCCCTTCCCACCCAAAGCATCTCTGCTTCCCCTTCCCACCCAAAGCATCTCTGCTTCCCCTTCCCACCCAAAGCATCTCTGCTTCCCCTTCCCACCCAAAGCATCTCTGCTTCCCCTTCCCACCCAAAGCATCTCTGCTTCCCCTTCCCACCCAAAGCATCTCTGCTTCCCCTTCCCACCCAAAGCATCTCTGCTTCCCCTTCCCACCCAAAGCATCTCTGCTTCCCCTTCCCACCCAAAGCATCTCTGCTTCCCCTTCCCACCCAAGGCATCTCTGCTTCCCCTTCCCACCCAAAGCATCTCTGCTTCCCCTTCCCACCCAAAGCATCTCTGCTTCCCCTTCCCACCCAAAGCATCTCTGCTTCCCCTTCCCACCCAAAGCATCTCTGCTTCCCCTTCCCACCCAAAGCATCTCTGCTTCCCCTTCCCACCCAAAGCATCTCTGCTTCCCCTTCCCACCCAAAGCATCTCTGCTTCCCCTTCCCACCCAAAGCATCTCTGCTTCCCCTTCCCACCCAAGGCATCTCTGCTTCCCCTTCCCACCCAAAGCATCTCTGCTTCCCCTTCCCACCCAAAGCATCTCTGCTTCCCCTTCCCACCCAAAGCATCTCTACTTCCCCTTCCCACCCAAAGCATCTCTGCTTCCCCTTCCCACCCAAAGCATCTCTGCTTCCCCTTCCCACCCAAAGCATCTCTGCTTCCCCTTCCCACCCAAAGCATCTCTGCTTCCCCTTCCCACCCAAAGCATCTCTGCTTCCCCTTCCCACCCAAGGCATCTCTGCTTCCCCTTCCCACCCAAAGCATCTCTGCTTCCCGTTCAGCCGTCCTACCTCCGCCCTTCTCACCCACTCCCTCCGCCCTCCCCCCCACACCCTTCCGAGGCACAACAGGCTGCAGGGAGCAGCTAGCGCACTTCCCTCTGCCACGTGGCGTGCCAGCGCCTCCTTAGCCCCCATTCTCCCTCACCGTCGCTCGCATCTCCCGCGCCCCCCGTCCCCGCTTTCACCCCCTTCCAGGTGCGCACCAGGCTGCACGCTGCAGCGACCGCGCTCCCCTCTGCGCCCCACGCGCTCGGCAGCACCATATTTGGTGGCGGGCCGGATGGGACAAGCTTCGCCGGTCCAAAGGTGGCGAGCGATTTTCTCACGGAGGAGGAGATGGAGCAGAGGAGAGCAGCAGCTCAGCAGTTCAGGAAGCCAAAGAAGAAGAAGAAAATCCGGAGGCGAACAGGGGGGGTGGAGGAGGACGAGGAGGGGGAGGGTGGTGGTGGCGGGGGAGAGGGAGGAGGGGGCGTGGGGAAGAAGAAGCGGAAGAAAGAGAAGCTGGATCTGGACAAGCTTGAGGCGCAGGCTCGGGCGGCAGGCTTGGGGAGAGGTTCGGACCTGGGGAGGAGGGATGGTGAGGGAGGAACAGCGCTGACGGCGAGGAGGAGAGAGGAGCAGGAGAGGGAGGAGCGCGGCGTGCGGGCGGCGTATGAGAGCGCCAAGGCCAAGGCGCTGGAGGCGTCGAGAGTGCTGAAGGAGGGGGGAGGGGAGGAGAGGGGTGGTGGAGAGGAGGGAAGGGGGTATGTGAGGGAGGGAATGGAGGTGGATGAGAGAGAGGGAGGGGAGGGTGGTGGGGAGGAGGGGCGAGAAGGAAAGGGGGTGAAGAAAGAGGAGGTGGAGGAGGCGGGTGAGGAGAAGGGGGAGAAAGGAGGAGAGACAGGGAGGGCGGATGAGGAGGAGGAGGAAGAGGAGGAGGACACGGTGGTGATAGGCGACGACGACGAGGATCTGCAGCGGTCGCTGGAGCGAGCCAGGCTGCTGGCGCTCAGACGCCGGCAGGAGGAGGAGGCCGCTGCCAGGGCGGCTGCTGCTGCTAATGGTGGTGGTGACGGTGATGGTGGCACAGGGAAGGTGAAGCAAGAGGCAGATATGGAGGGAGGGAGTGCAGCTGGCGGGGCAGGGGCGCGGCCTGCAGTGAGGGGGGAGGCGCTGGTGCTGGCGCAGCTGAAGCAGGTTGGGCGGGGGAGGAAGAGGGCAGGGGAGGGGCAAGGCGGGGAGGAGGAGGAAGAGGGAAGTGCGCGTGGGCTTGTGTTCAGCGACACTGGGGAGTTCTGCAGGGGCCTGCAGCTCGATGATGGTGAGCTGGCAGATAGATGATGGTGAGCTGGCAGATAGATGATGGTGAGCTGGCAGATAAATGGTGGTGGGCTGGCAGCTAGATGATGGTGAGCTGGCAGACAGATGGTGGTGAGCTGGCAGATAGATCGTGGTGAGCTGGCAGGCAGATGATGGTGAGGTGGCAGGTGGATGACAGGGAGCTGGCAGGCAGAAAGGATGAACGCGTTGGATGCCTCCCTCCTCCCCTCCCTCCCCTACCGACCCTCCCTGGTGATATCCGTCTAGCTGGGCTCTTGCACTGACGAGCAAGCATGCATGGGGGCAAGGGATGGGGAGGCGGGAGGCATGTAGGGAAATGGACTGCAGATGAGGTTCCAGCATCGGAGCAAGCACGCAGTGTAAGTCTGAGTGGCTTGGCTTCTTAACACCGGTTGCTGCGTGGCTAGTAAACCTCAAACCGTGCTCATCCCTCGTGACCCTTGGTGCTCAGTTTCTCTCTCCACGTTCCTGTCGCCACGTTCCTCCCGCCCTGCAGCTCTCGTGAAGCGCGTCAGCGCCAGAGAAGCAGCAGCAGCCGCTAAAGAAGAGCTGGCAGCGGCGGCTGCTGCTGAGCTCCTCCCTTCTTCCGCCGCCGCTGCCGCTGCCGCTGCCGCTGGTGGTGGTGGTGGCGGCACGAGGTCGGACGGGGGGGGATGGATGGAGGTGAAGCGGGACGGGGAGGACGAGGAGATGGGCGACGCACACGAGGGCGGGGAGGGTGGGGAGGGCGCAGGGGAGAGGGAGGCAGAGAAGGGCAAGGGGAAGGCGGAGAAGGAGGAGGTGGATGCGATAGCAGAGACGCCGGTGGGCGTGGGGCTGGCGGCGGCGCTGGCGCTGCTGAAGGACCGCGGGGCGCTGAAGGGCGAGGTGGAGTGGGGCGGGCGCACCATGGACAAGAAGCGCAGCAAGCTCGTGGGCGTGCTGGACGAACACGGCCGCGACCGCCCCGACGCCTTCAAGGACGTGCGCATTGATCGGCTCGATGAGTTCGGCAGAGTGGTGAGTCTGGGTTCGGCTGGGTGGTTTTGAGGCGCCTCCGAAGCGCCATGGAGAAGAAGCGCAGCAAGCTGGGGCATGCTGGAACACGGCACGGACCGGCCAGATGCCTGCAAGGAGGCCCGGGTTGACCACACACTAGATGCGGTGGAAGGCGGTGGATAGAGTTTATTTTGGGGTGCTTATGGCTGGGGTGGAGTAGGGAGTGGGGTGGTGTGCAGCCTGGGGCGGTGCGTGCCATGGAGTCACTTCACTTCACCCCCCGTGTCCCAGATGACTGGCAGCAAGGCCTTGTGCCACAAGTCCCACAATGTGAGTTGAACAAGGAGTGACAAGCAGTGATCTCCCATTTGTTTCCACATCCCCCCCCTCTTGTCGTGCGCGTGCACCACTCCAGCGAGTGACCCCTGCAGCACCTCTTGCAAGCTGTTCCACAAGGTCCGTGGCACCATGCGGCAACATGATCAACCAACATTCGTTCAACACACCCTTGCGGCCGCTTCTCCCACGGATGCTTCTAGGAGAGGCCGTTTGCAAGGTGGCGCATGCGTTCCATGGCAAGGGATGGATCACCTTAGTGTTTCCTTCTCCTTTCCAACCATCGTCCCCCCCCCCGCCTATCCCAGATGACCCCGAAGGAGGCGTTCCGCAAACTGTCGCACGCGTTCCACGGGAAGGGGCCCGGCAAGATGAAGCAGGAGAAGCGCATCCGCGCGTACGAGGAGGACCTCAAGCGCAAGGGCATGGCGGCGGGCGACACGCCCATGCACTCCGTGGAGAAGCTCCGGGAGGTGCAGCGCACCACGCAGTCACCCTATGTTGTCATCACGGGCCATGTCAAGCCAGGGTGAGTGTTGGGGGGGGGGGGGCGGGCTAAGGGATGGGGGAGGATGGGAAAGTGGAATGGAGAGAAGGGGAGTGGAAGGTGGGGGGGCAGCACGCCCATGCACTCGGTGGAGAAGCTCAGGGAGGCGCAGCGCACCACGCAGTCGCCTTATCTTGTCATCACCGGGCACATCATACCGGGGTGAGCTTGAAAGGGGTTTGAGAGGCAAGAGGTGTTTTGCAGAGGGAAAACCGACGGAGGCAGGGAGTGAGGGGGACGGGAGGCTCTCTCCATATTCGTGTGCACACATGGTATATGACATCATATGTGTGTGCACACATGGTATATGACATCATATGTGTGTGCATCCTCCTCCCCTTCGTCTCGTCCCTCTTCCCCCCCCCTTCACCAGCCAAATCACGGACCCGGCCAACTCGTTCGCGACGATGGAGAAGGAGACGGTGGGCAGCCTCACGCCCATGCTGGGCGACAAGAAGGTGCGCTGTAGATGGCCGGCAGCGAGGCAAGATGCATGACGGCAGGCGAGAGCCAAGTAGAGAGTTGAGAGGCGCGAAAGGTGAGAGGGGTGCAGAATGGGTTGGCACTTGGTGCGTCTCCCTTGTTTAGAGAGGATGGGAATATTGTATGCCATCAAGGTTTCAGCTGGTATTCTGGCGCGCGTCAAGTGGAGAGCAGGTCACGCCATCCACCGCAGCACCTCGAGCGCTTCCAGTGGCACACCTGGTGTGGCTGCCCATAGAGGCAGACATGCCACACGCTCTTTCATCCTCACTCCCCGTTTCCTCCCACCTGTAAGTATGTTTTATGCCCCTCTCATCTTCTCTCATCTTCTCTCATCTTCTCTCATCGCTCCCCATTCCCCCCATCCGCCTCCCCCCCACCAGGTGGAGTACTTCCTGGGCATCTCAAAGCCCTCGTCCGACCCATCGCCATCCGGTGCCGCCTCCTCCCGCACCCCCATGGGCCCTCCGCGGCCCAAGAACCCCAAGCAATGATGCACCATGTGCCATGTGCGATGATGCAGCTGTGCGCCGTGCGGAATGATGATCCATGCATGCGCCGTGTGCAACGTGTTATGTTCCCTGCGCTTGCGCCATGCGCCGTTAATTGATGAGGGCCATCTCATCTCATGTCGTGTGCTGTCTCTTCTCTGCCCGCCTCGCGACAACATCTCATGCCATTCGTTGTGTTGCTCTTGATGGCAGCAGATTTTGTACCTTGCATTGGCACGATGTGTTTGTTGCAGCAAGATTGCCTGATGTTGCATCTTGCTGATGTTATCAGCTGCCAGACAAGTGCACAAGGTCATCTTTCTGTAAAAAATATATATATTTCAGCAGCAGGCATACATGGAGTAATCTAACGCCATGTTGCCCAAGACCGTATCAAGACTAACAGCACCAGAATGCTCGCAAAACACAGAAAGGTGCCATCCTGGCCAGGGCTAAGAGATGAGCCGCCCAGCCCGGGGCTACTCCTGGTCCGCATCGTCGGCGCCGCCCCCTCCTTTGTACGAGCGCATCTGGTCCGCGTACCGCACCTTGTCCACCTTCGCCTTGTCCTCGTAGGGTGCCTTCTCCTCCGCTGCAGGGAGTGGGGAAGGGGCGGGCGAGTGGAGCATGATGAAGGGTTGAAGAGCGAACGATGCAGGGAAGGTCAGAATGCATGGAAGGTCAGAATGCATGGAAGGTCAGAATGCATGGAAGGTCAGAATGCATGGAAGGTCAGAATGCATGGAAGGTCAGAATGCAGGGAAGGTCAGAATGCATGGAAGATCAGAACGCATGGAAGGTCAGAATGCATGGAAGGTCAGAATGCAGGGAAGGTCAGAATGCATGGAAGGTCAGAATGCATGGAAGGTCAGAATGCAGGGAAGGTCAGAATGCAGGGAAGGTCAGAATGCAGGGAAGGTCAGAATGCATGGAAGGTCAGAATGCAGGGAAGGTCAGAATGCAGGGAAGGTCAGAATGCAGGGAAGGTCAGAATGCAGGGAAGGTCAGAATGCAGGGAAGGTCAGAATGCATGGAAGGTCAGAATGCATGGAAGGTCAGAATGCAGGGAAGGTCAGAATGCATGGAAGGTCAGAATGCAGGGAAGGTCAGAATGCAGGGAAGGTCAGAATGCATGGAAGGTCAGAATGCATGGAAGGTCAGAATGCAGGGAAGGTCAGAATGCAGGGAAGGTCAAAACGCATGGAAGGTCAGAATGCATGGAAGGTCAGAATGCATGGAAGGTCAGAATGCATGGAAGGTCAGAATGCAGGGAAGGTCAGAATGCAGGGAAGGTCAGAATGCAGGGAAGGTCAGAATGCAGGGAAGGTCAGAATGCATGGAAGGTCAGAATGCATGGAAGGTCAGAATGCAGGGAAGGTCAGAATGCATGGAAGGTCAGAATGCATGGAAGGTCAGAATGCATGGAAGGTCAGAATGCAGGGAAGGTCAGAATGCAGGGAAGGTCAAAACGCATGGAAGGTCAGAATGCATGGAAGGTCAGAATGCATGGAAGGTCAGAATGCATGGAAGGTCAGAATGCAGGGAAGGTCAGAATGCAGGGAAGGTCAGAATGCAGGGAAGGTCAGAATGCAGGGAAGGTCAGAATGCATGGAAGGTCAGAATGCATGGAAGGTCAGAATGCATGGAAGGTCAGAATGCAGGGAAGGTCAGAATGCATGGAAGGTCAGAATGCAGGGAAGGTCAGAATGCAGGGAAGGTCAGAATGCAGGGAAGGTCAGAATGCATGGAAGGTCAGAATGCATGGAAGGTCAGAATGCATGGAAGGTCAGAATGCATGGAAGGTCAGAATGCAGGGAAGGTCAGAATGCATGGAAGGTCAGAATGCATGGAAGGTCAGAATGCAGGGAAGGTCAGAATGCAGGGAAGGTCAAAACGCATGGAAGGTCAGAATGCATGGAAGGTCAGAATGCATGGAAGGTCAGAATGCATGGGAAGGTCAAAATGCATGGAAGGTCAGAATGCAGGGAAGGTCAGAATGCATGGAAGGACAGAATGCATGGAAGGTCAGAATGCATGGAAGGTCAGAATGCAGGGAAGGTCAGAATGTATGGAAGGTCAGAATGCATGGAAGGTCAGAATGCAGGGAAGGTCAGAATGCAGGGAAGGTCAGAATGCATGGAAGGTCAGAATGCATGGAAGGTCAGAATGCATGGAAGGTCAGAATGCATGGAAGGTCAGAATGCAGGGAAGGTCAGAATGCATGGAAGGTCAGAATGCAGGGAAGGTCAGAATGCAGGGAAGGTCAGAATGCATGGAAGGTCAGAATGCATGGAAGGTCAGAATGCATGGAAGGTCAGAATGCATGGAAGGTCAGAATGCAGGGAAGGTCAGAATGCAGGGAAGGTCAGAATGCATGGAAGGTCAGAATGCATGGAAGGTCAGAATGCATGGGAAGGTCAAAATGCATGGAAGGTCAGAATGCATGGAAGGTCAGAATGCAGGGAAGGTCAGAATGCATGGAAGGTCAGAATGCATGGAAGGTCAGAATGCAGGAAGGTCAGAATGCAGGAAGGTCAGAATGCATGGAAGGTCAGAATGCATGGAAGGTCAGAATGCATGGAAGGTCAGAATGCATGGAAGGTCAGAATGCATGGAAGGTCAGAATGCAGGGAAGGTCAGAATGCATGGAAGGTCAGAATGCATGGAAGGTCAGAATGCATGGAAGGTCAGAATGCAGGGAAGGTCAGAATGCAGGGAAGGTCAGAATGCATGGAAGGTCAGAATGCATGGAAGGTCAGAATGCAGGGAAGGTCAGAATGCATGGAAGGTCAGAATGCATGGAAGGTCAGAATGCAGGAAGGTCAGAATGCAGGGAAGGTCAGAATGCATGGAAGGTCAGAATGCATGGAAGGTCAGAATGCATGGAAGGTCAGAATGCAGGGAAGGTCAGAATGCAGGGAAGGTCAGAATGCATGGAAGGTCAGAATGCATGGAAGGTCAGAATGCATGGAAGGTCAGAATGCATGGAAGGTCAGAATGCATGGAAGGTCAGAATGCATGGAAGGTCAGAATGCATGGAAGGTCAGAATGCAGGGAAGGTCAGAATGCATGGAAGGTCAGAATGCATGGAAGGTCAGAATGCATGGAAGGTCAGAATGCAGGGAAGGTCAGAATGCATGGAAGGTCAGAATGCATGGAAGGTCAGAATGCAGGGAAGGTCAGAATGCATGGAAGGTCAGAATGCATGGAAGGTCAGAATGCATGGAAGGTCAGAATGCATGGAAGGTCAGAATGCATGGAAGGTCAGAATGCAGGGAAGGTCAGAATGCATGGAAGGTCAGAATGCATGGAAGGTCAGAATGCATGGAAGGTCAGAATGCAGGGAAGGTCAGAATGCAGGGAAGGTCAGAATGCATGGAAGGTCAGAATGCATGGAAGGTCAGAATGCATGGAAGGTCAGAATGCAGGGAAGGTCAGAATGCATGGAAGGTCAGAATGCATGGAAGGTCAGAATGCAGGGAAGGTCAGAATGCATGGAAGGTCAGAATGCATGGAAGGTCAGAATGCATGGAAGGTCAGAATGCAGGGAAGGTCAGAATGCATGGAAGGTCAGAATGCATGGAAGGTCAGAATGCAGGGAAGGTCAGAATGCATGGAAGGTCAGAATGCATGGAAGGTCAGAATGCATGGAAGGTCAGAATGCATGGAAGGTCAGAATGCATGGAAGGTCAGAATGCAGGGAAGGTCAGAATGCATGGAAGGTCAGAATGCATGGAAGGTCAGAATGCATGGAAGGTCAGAATGCAGGGAAGGTCAGAATGCAGGGAAGGTCAGAAAGAATGCATGGAAGGTCAGAATGCATGGAAGGTCAGAATGCAGGGAAGGTCAGAATGCATGGAAGGTCAGAATGCATGGAAGGTCAGAATGCAGGGAAGGTCAGAATGCATGGAAGGTCAGAATGCAGGGAAGGTCAGAATGCAGGGAAGGTCAGAATGCATGGAAGGTCAGAATGCATGGAAGGTCAGAATGCAGGGAAGGTCAGAATGCAGGGAAGGTCAAAACGCATGGAAGGTCAGAATGCATGGAAGGTCAGAATGCATGGAAGGTCAGAATGCATGGAAGGTCAGAATGCAGGGAAGGTCAGAATGCAGGGAAGGTCAGAATGCAGGGAAGGTCAGAATGCAGGGAAGGTCAGAATGCATGGAAGGTCAGAATGCATGGAAGGTCAGAATGCAGGGAAGGTCAGAATGCATGGAAGGTCAGAATGCATGGAAGGTCAGAATGCATG